TGATTTTGTGGTTTGTACCCCCTTCCCAGAAGCTTGGTAATAGCATAAGACCTTTACTTTCTGCAATTTACTGCTTTCCTTATTACTGTTAGTAACTAGGGCATGTATGGCAAGATCTAAAATCAACCGTTAGATAACCCTAAATCCAAGATTAAATAACTGAATTCAATAAACTATTCACACACTCACCTCTAAGGTAACCTCACTTGTTGCCTCCGAATAAAAATAGTCATGTCCCTCGAATGTGGGGACGCCTTATCAAAGTCCCTCTGATACAAAAGATTATAGTCCCTCGATGACCCTTCGATTCTGCCTTCGATAAACGATCTAGTCCCTCACGATAAAATTGCTAAAGAGCCCTACAAGTTGCCTTTATGATTGTACAATGACCCTTGCATGTTCCTTCACATATAACGATAGGCCTTCCTACTAACTAATGGTAGGATAGCACTATCTAAAGGAGGAGGAAAATAACGCGAAAGACTTTTGAGTAAGGGTAGAATAATGTTAATCGCTTGCTCACACACAACATATTTTTCACACAATCATCTGATACGAGAATCATTACAAAGTTTCCTCACTTAGGCATTTTCAAGATATTTTCAAACTCTTACACAAAAGGCATTCTCAAACAAAGTGAGCTAGCAATTAAGAGTCTGCACATAACTACGAATGAAAAGGGTGCTAACACCTTCCCTTTTCATAACCTACCCCCCGAACTCAAATAAAATCTCTAAGGTCTTTCCTTTTCTTTTCACCCTTTCCTTATTGGATAAAAGAAAATTCGATGGCGACTCTTTCTATCCTCAACATTTGCGATAAATGCAAAACAAGTCAGTTCTCCCACCGTATTATAAAGACCAAGAGAAAAGGATAAAACTCCAGAAAACTCTCAAAATCAAGACAATAGTATGAATGATGCATGCTATGTAATGCAAATGATTGTTTAAAAAATTTTAAAATCAAGTTTCCAAGAAACTTTGGAACAAATTGCAAACATCAATTAAAGAACACAATTGTAATAGTCGGAAAAATCACATTTCATTAATATTAGAAGGATTACAGTTGAATTACAAACTTTCACGAATCCCATAGAAAAGAAAGAGAAAGCTAAATCCTCAGGTCCAATTGAATTTCATTCAAATAAGATCCATCACTGGGTTGTAACATCTTTTTGAGCTTGGATTTGAAGTGCTAAAGGAAAATAAATCCTATTGCACTCTTCTCTTCTACTTTTCTAAGAATCGGGAAAAATAAATCCTATTGCACTCTTCTCTTCTACTTTTCTAAGAATCAGGAAAATAAATCATCGATACAAAGGATCAGGGAACTGGATCAAAGGTGTGGGGAATTCCATCTTCCAAATAACCAAGAGACTCTGAAATCCCAAGGAATAGATACCAAGGATTCAGGCTTTCTCAATTCTTCTAAATCAGGACTCTTGAAACTGTACTTATGAGTATTCCTTTCAAAATCCACAATTACAAAACTTGTGATGTTTGCAAAGAGAATCCCTTGGTTCCTTGAAAACCGGGTGAAAATGATGTGTCATGAATGCATGAGTGCACGATTATGCAGCAATCATAAACAAGATCACAAACAGGGGTGAAATTTTAGTATATCAGACTTCAGATGTCCTATGACATGTTGAGACATATGAACCTGAACAAAACAAACATGGCAAGGTATAAACATACAAAATGGTACTGAAAATCATAAATAACATACCAAAATTGTTAACCCAGTTCAGAGCAACTCTCCTACTCTGGGGGCATACTAAGCCAGAGATAAAGTCCACTATAATAGTATCAACTCGAAGCTAAATTCCCTTGTTTACAACTTCTCACTTAATCACTACCCGTACTAACTTTCTACCTAAGACTCTCCTAGGTATGAGGCCCTCATCAATCACAGACAGCGATTGGATCAAAATAGGAAGACACACTTCCATGACACAAAACCAGAAGATACACTTCTATGATAATATTAGAAGACTCACTTCTAAAACAATACCTAACCAAGATTCTTGACTAAGAATAACACATAGAGTTGCTTACAAGCTTCCTCTAAGAACAATAATTAACTTTTGCTTAAAAGCTTAAGAGAGATAAAAAACCTTACAACTCAAGGAACACAGTTCAACTCACAATCCGAGTGGATCACACAAATCAACTCTCCTAGAAAGTGGCACAGACTCAGCCCTAATAATATTACATTCTTGGCTGGTGTTTTTCCTAGGTTACAATGCTTCTATTTATAACCAACCTTTTTCCCAATTGGATTTGGGATTCAAATCACAACATATCAGCTATTTCAAATCTGCATAAGATTCTGTAACAAAATAGGTCTTCAATCGTATTCTTCCTAATTTATCTCCATAATTAGAAAGTGCATATTCTTCTTGATTCTGACTTCAATCTTCCAGACCTATAAAACAACACCACATAAGATAACATAATATTCCTAGAATATCCTGCATTTATTAAAACATAACAGAATCCAACTGTCCATCCCAACACAGGCGCAATATCGGATGACTCAACATGGGACATCTTATCCAACATGTTTCTCCAAATGATGAGAACTACTCATCTCAACATGTCTCAATATAAAATAGGACTTCTTGCTCAACATGTTCTTCATAGAAAGTAACCATATCCTATTTAACATATTACTGTTATATTTTTTTACTAAAATTAATACCAATCCTAAAAATAGAGAACTAACAATGGAGGGTTCATAGGTTTGACGTCACGAGCATGAAGCCAAAGGTACTGCCCACAAGGTATAGACTAAGGGCTCAATCACCTGTAAATCAATGTTCTAAGAAATCCCAGAGTCTAAGCGCTTCCTTTGGATATTACCAACGTCCTAATTTACTCGGTATTTAGTAATATTCGCAAGAAAAACTCGTTTGAGTGTAGTATCACATAACAACTATACCAGAATTGACTCCTGGATAGTCTCTGCACTACACCTAAAAAGGCCAAGATGAGTTAAGGATTCTACATCTCTCACCTTCTCGGGCTCCCAGGTTGAAAGTAGTAATGTTTTCACAACTTACTTGTTCAACTAATACTACCTCAAGAGGCCTCCATTGAGCGGGGGGTTTTAAATCAACTTACTAAGGACTTTTTCCACATAAGTTGAAGTGATTATACCATTCAACCTATCTTAAGTTGCCCACTTAATAAGGATTTCAAAAATATGTCGAAGTATGATTAAATTGATTATGTTTTGATTAAGAAAAATATTTTGAAAATTCATGGACCTAAGTCCAAGTTTATTATGAAAGTGTTTCAAGTTTAAAAAAAAAAGTTTTGAAAAGGAGAAAGAAGATTTTAAAATTAAAGAAAATGGGAGGAGATGAAGGGACTATCCTATGTACACAAAGTAAAAGCTAAGGTAAGGAAAAGTATAACTAAACAAGAAGACAACACTTGACATAGAAAAGTCAATGTAGAATTACCATCCTTTGGGTTAAAGTCACAAGCATAGAATAAACCAAGAGCATACCAATCATCCATGTGAAAATAAATCACAAGCAAAGAAGTATCAAAGAAATTCAAGGGTAGTAACCAATAATCCATAAAGAGAGGCTTAAGCCTTTTAATATTCAAGTTGGTTGTTAAGTGTCTTTAAAAGAAAATAAAAGCTCAAGTGAGCAAAGATAAAATGACATAAAATAAATAAATATTCAAGTGAGCAAAAGGAAAATAATATGAGATGTAAATGCTAAAGATAAAATTGCATAAAAGTGAAGGTATAAAATAAATGCATGAAGTAAAGCATAAAGTTAATTGTTAATGAGTTAAAAGTTAGAAGTTAATGGTCACAAATATGATCAATGATGATTGAATGATGATCTTTGACCAAAAATTATGAAAACTAATTAGAGGATTGATAAAATCAAACCTCCTAACAACAAGTTTCGAAGATATTGGATCCAAGATAACCAATCAATCATACTTGGACATTCAAATATAAAATTTGAGCCACGAATGAACATTTTCCGAATCGGGACAAATTTAGTGATATGTTAAGCAATCGTAAGTGAACTTATATAGAAGTTGCACCTATATGAGACCGGTCAATAACAATTCATGTACCATACATGTTAGAGACATGGTAGAAACCATGTTCCTAAAACATATAGCACAAATTAAAACCAAAGATCAAGACCTAACTCATGATTAAAAAAAAAAGAAAAAATAAAGAGATGAAGTAGAGATAAAATCTAGCCACCAAAGTTAGAAACAAATACTAAATATATAATATGTACAAGCGAATAGAGTTAAAATTGATGTTTAATGGATTAAATGGGTGAAATATCAAAATTGGTACATAAATATCAACGAAAATTCAAATAAATCAATACAAGTAAGAAACAGGTTAAGAAGTATTCACAAATTTTTTCAGAATTTTTTAATGCATAAATGTATCTTTAAACTATTTGAAACAAAGCAAATAAGTGAAAAATGATTAAAAATAGTAAAAATCAAAATAAAATTTCAGAAAATCAGAAATAATGAAAATAATTTTTATGAATTTTTTTCATAATTTTTGGACGAAAAATAAATTTAAAATGGATTTTTGAAATTTAAAATGAATTAAAAGAAAAGAAATTAAAATAGAATAAATCTCAGCCATTTGATATAGTCAGCTTCAATACAGTAATCACATCAGAAGATTCAAATCTAAGATACACAGTAAATACAATATATATGCGCGTGGAGAATCAAATACTTGTCATCTTCTCATATGTTATTGATGAGAGAGGATAAAATAAAATAATAATAAAAACTAAAACCCAAACACACCAACAGTTATTTTATACGTTGGGCATCCAAAAGGTTTTTTTTTTTCAATTTTCCCCAACAAAATAGTTCTCTCTCTCATTAACCATTCCAATCATATTTTAAAACACCTACAAAAAACAGAACTTATGAAAGCTTTAACAAAAATAGAGGTCAACATGGTGGTCATCCAAGAGCAACGCAATGGAGGAAGAAGACCCACCGAAGCGACCGCCACCAGTTCACGGCGGCGCCGCCTCAAAGAGTATCCGATCTATTTTATTTTTTTTTACATTTTTCGTGCTATGTTCTCCTTCTGATCACAAATCTGGAAATAGTTTTTCGAAAAAAGGTTTAGAAAATGCTAGATCTACAAATAAAGTTTCGAAAGTTTAAGTTCAAAATAACAACAGTTAGTCATAGAATCACAAAGAAGAATGTGGATTCGTGTTTGTCAGTGGAAGAGAAACCTTCTGATATAAAAAGGGTGGAGGACGGCGGCAATCAGAGGGTGCAGACGGTGGCTCTCCAGCGAAGGCAGAGGGTTTCCGGCGAGTTTGGGTCGCTTCTTTGACGTAATTCTTCAGGTGAGTTTCATTTCTCTTGTGTTTTTATGTTTTCTCAATGTGTGTAATCTGAAAAATATGGAGGAGAAACCGTGTCAAAGCTTGGAGTTTTGGAAGAGAGCAAAATCGTCATCAAAAGGCCTTGGAGTTTAGTTCTCGTGGAAGTCTTGAATTTCATGTGACTTTGGTGAAAATCTTGAATACTTGTATGTGTTGAATGTCATTTGAAATTTAAGCTTAGGAATTGAAAGCCATTGTAGTTTTTAAAAACCAAAACTTCTTTGTAATCCTTGTGAAATGATTTGTAACATAACAGTGAAACTCTTTGTATTTTCTTATAAAGACCAAATTGAATTCTTGAATTGGTATGGATAAATTCCTTGTAACTTGGATTGATAGGAATGGAAGGAACTTTGAAACCTTGAATGATGTGAAACTTGAATATCCCTTTGAGATTTTGATCCTTGAATGAGAATGGATATTGAAACTTGTATCTTGAGTTATGAATAAAAATGGTAATGACTTGTAATAAACTTTGAAATTCCATTTGAACTTTCTTTGAGTTTTGAATAAGAGAATGAATCATATGACTTGAAACCCTTTTGGATGTTCCTCGATGAATTTTGAGAAGTTTGATTCCAATGAGAAAGGATATTGAAGTCTTGAATATCTAATAATCATGCCATTACCAAAAAGAAATTCAATAAAAAAAAACTACTTTAAACCAAATTACTAATGCTAAACACAAGCAACGAACAATCTATAATTCTTAAAAATCCATACTTGACGAGGAATGATCTTATCATAAGAATAAATGTTCAAGGAAAAAAATATGGTATGAATTGAAATTAGAGGTCATGAAAGTACTAAGTCCAAAAATGATCAGTAATGTTTCAAGAAATTTCATGGCTTTCCGAGCACAATTGACAATTGATCCTTGAAGTAAATTTGTAGTTAACATCTTGAAGAGTATCATGCAAAAAGAATCAACCCAAAATTTTGATGGTCTTCTACACATAATTAGTTTTTGACTTGAAAAGAGTAGTTGGAAAGGACGTCAAAAGGGATCATATGCAAAAATAACCACTAAATTTTTTTGAATAATGAAGAAGTTATGATCATTTGAGTTTGAACTTGCGAATGTTGACTTTTGGTCAAACCAACTTTGAATCAACTAGCAAACTTGATCTTTTCTTGGAATCCAATGCATGTTTAAGCACATATGAACTTGAGATGATAAAATCTATTCACACTTGTCAGGACTTGAGATTATTCGTCGAAGAAGGAATGAAAATAAACACATGAACCTATCTTGAAGAGTCTTGAGAATTAGGCAACCAAACTCGCATTCACCGTGTTGAATGAAGCTTGAGGATAGTATGACCTAAGATTATAGATCTCAACTTTGAAAAAAATAGGCATTTGAGAATCAGTCTTTGGCCTGAGAAACTCACAACCCTAATTAACGAACCATCACCTAAATTTCTTGATTGGAAGCTCTGCCTTCTAAAAGAAACAAAATAAACGAGATATATTTTTTAATTTTAGTAAGAGGTCAGTAAAATATAAAACATGTATGTACAAGATACACAATTCAATGTGCTTGGTGATCCCTCAAGGACAAACTTAAGGATAGTAGATAGTAGAAGAGATAACCAACCCTAATGTGTGATCTTGAGGCATTGTGATGATATGAAGTGATGAGGGATCTTAGGGGGAAAATTGAGGTATTACAGGAAGTAACAAACTTCTTTCATAAATCAAACATAGACAATCTTGATAATAATACACATTGTCGTCATCCTGATAATACTTTGGACCTTTATTGAGGTCAACTTCAATATAAAAAACACCATTCATTTCTAGAATAGTCTAGATGAGGAATGTATATAAAAAAGGACGCGAAAGACGAGCTTTGTAAAACAATATATGTTAAATGATTTATTTTACTTAATTGATGTTGTCTTTATTGAGAAAAATCTACATTTGAAAAAGATCAGTATTGTCTTCTCTGGCCCAATATCCAGCTTTCCTATATAGGATCTTCATAGTCACCTAATAAATCATTCTCATATTAAACTTCATTTGGCTTATGTGAAAATGACTAGAGTCTAAATGACCTCGAAACTGATTCTTCAGAATAGATTAAACAAATAGGGCTCAATGATAATCAACTGAAATGATTTTTTGGATCAATCTCGACACCTTTGTTCTCTAGTCCTAGCACATCCAAAACATTAACATCATAGAAGCTAACCAATTTTTCTCTAAATTAGAAGACCACTCCCTCACCACAACTATCTTTCTTCACATTAAAGTAGAAGGATTTTACGTGATCGACATTATAATGAATATTCAAGGCCAAACTCTTCTGAAGGTTATGCTTCTAAAAAACATCCAAAAAATTCATAGACAAAGTATCATCAACCTGTTTTATGAAGAAGTATTACGGGGAATTCTCTTTCTCAAGAAACATGTCCTTAAACGTCTGAAAATTTTGGACACTAATCAAGTTTATAACTTTGTGAACAACCATAGAAATATTTGAAGCATAAGAGGTATAAGAAGGAATGATTTGAAGAGAAATATTGGAAAAAGATTCACCTCTTACCTTTTTCTTTGACCCAACAAGTCACTTATTATTTTCTTTTGGATGAGAGGCTGAACGAGATCTCTTGTCCATTTGATATTCAAATGAAAATGACAACAAAAACATCTAAAAAGTCACAACCTAGATCAACACTACACGAAAATGAATGTCTGAACTGGGGCTTAATTGATGAACTGATGAAAAGGTTAGAGTTTTGATGATATGAGAGGTTTGGGTTCAAAGAGGTTGAGAGATTAGAATAAGATGCTATTTAAAATGAGATATGAGTGAGATGAATGTTGGGTGAGAATATGGTGTAAGAAAATAATCTAGAGGGGGTGAATAGAATTTTTCAAACAAATCAACTGATTCATCGAAAACGAAGATGCACGAATCTCTGCATGTGGGCATCCTAGACTTGCTAAGGAATATATCTCTGTTGGGGACGATCTTGCGAAGATAACTCTGTAGAGATAGTTTCATGAAGATTGCTTTGTGGGAATTTATGAATGACTTAAAAATTATCTCAACTCATAGAGTCTTCAATAAATGCTAATCTCGTTTTCATGCATATATTTGTAAATGGTAATCATATTCAAATGCATATGTTCATTCAATATAATCATTTGACGTTTTTGCAAACAAAACAGAGAAAATAAAATAAAAAACTTTTTTTTTCTTTTGAAATTGAAACTGATTGTATTGATTTGGAAGATTTATCTATAAACAGATAGTTTTATACAAAGAGATAGAAGTCCTAGTAAGAGGAAATCGTTGTGAAAAGAAAAAAGTGTACAAAGAGAAACCGAGAAAAACAACTACGTGAAAATGATCCCATCGAGTTTCAACTCTGCTATTGCCCATATGTCTTCAAGCATCTCATCCCTTGCTGTTGAAATAAGTTGACTAGATTGATCTGTATCGTTTGAACTTGACGTTGGTAATTATGCTGGCCGTAAGTAGATGATCTAACGGGACATAATCGTATGCTTTAATCCCTAACTTTTTCCTGGACCTCCCTTTCAGGTTTTCAGTCCACCGGGATACCCTTTTTTGCCCAAGCCGCCTTTTCAGGTTTTCAACTTGTCGGGTGTACACTTTTTTATATTATATCCCTAATTTTTTCCCGAACCCTTTTGGTTCATCGGGATGCCCTTATTTTTGCCTAGGCCTGTGAACCTAGCGGGTCACTTCACGTTCATAGGGTGTGGAAGATCTTCACCGTCCATGGTGGTAAGTATCATAGCCCCGCCAGAAAATATTTTCTTGATCACAAACGGACCTTCATAAGTGGGAGTCCATTTGCCCCTAGGATCACCTTATGGTAAGATGATGCGCTTTATTACCAAACCGCCAACCTGATACACCTGAGGTTTGATCTTCTTGTTAAAGGCCTTGATCATGTGCTTCTAATACATCTGACCATGACAAACATCCGCGAGCCTCTTCTCATCAATAAAATTTATCTGGTCGAGTCGAGTCTGAATTCATACGTCTTTATCTAAACCTGCATTTTTCATAATTCTCAGAGAGGGAATCTGGACTTCGACAGGTAAGACCGCCTCCATACCATAGATGAGAGAGAGTGGGGTTGCCCCAATTGATGTTCGTGCTAAAGGGTGATAACCATGAAGAGCAAACGGTAACATCTCATGCTAATATTTATATGTCACCGTCATTTTCTTCAAAATCTTCTTAATGTTCTTATTGGTGGCTTCCACTGCGCCATTCGTCTTTGATAGATATAGAGAGGAATTATGATGTTTAATCTTAAATTTCATGCAGATTTGCATGATCATAGTGTTGTTAAGATTGGTACCATTATCAGTGATGATCCTTTCGGATATGCCATACCGACAGATGAGGTTATGCTTAATGAATCGGGCCACGACATACTTGGTAACAGAGGCAAATGAGGCAGCTTCAACCCACTTTGTAAAATAATCAATAGCGACCAGGATGAAACAATGCCCATTAGATGTGGTAAGATTAATCTCTCCGATCATATCAATGTCCCACATTGCAAACGGACAAGGAGCAGTCAAGACATTCAGAGGAACCAGAGGCACATGTATTTTTCAGCATAAATTTGGCATTTATGACAAGTTTTGGAATGGCGATGGCGATGGCGATCAATTTCCATGGTCAACCAATAATAACCCGCTCTTAGAATTTTCTTAGCCATCATATGCCCGCTGGAATCAGTACCAAAGACCCCTTCATGCATATCTTCCATAATCTTCTCAGCTTCCTTCTTGTCTATAAAAAGAAGCAGAGTCGAATCATGATTGTGCTTGTACACAATTTTGTTACTCAGAAAGAACTTGGCCGAGAACCTTCGTAGGAATTTCCTATCGTTAATAGATGGCCCTTCAAGATGTTCTTGGGCTTCGAGGTATCTTTTCACTTCATGGTACCAAGGATTTTCCTCTACCCCATCGGTATTAACTTTGTAGAAATGTGCAGGTTTGTCTAATCTCTCAATAGTAATTCGAGGAGCTTCATTATCCCATCTGACTTTGAACGTAGACTGATAACACGAAAAGATATAACATTTTCTGCCCAATTTACATAGATTATATTTCTAATTTCTCGTTTATTATGTCACATTTGATCTCTTTTTGTAGTATTTGCAACATATTTCAGGTACTTAGCATTTGCGAGGCATAAATGAGAAAAGGAAGAAAAAGAATGGAAAAATAAAGAAGAAATGGCTATTAAACAGCAAAATGCAGCATTCTGTAAAGTGAAGCGTACCGCCCGCCATAAAGGTGTTACGACCGGGAAAAGCTTAGTTTTTGTGCCCCTCGGCACATCTAATGTTAAGATCTGGACATATATTGATTATATGCCCCACATCACAATACACGCCACGCTCGCCATGATCCAAGCAGTTACGAACCTTTCGCCAATGAAGCGTACTAAACGCATGTTCACCTGGATTTTCTCCACGCTCCAGGAACAAGAATTATGGAATGTTACCTATTTTTTCTCAATTAAATGGAATCTATATATGGAAGCAG